ATAAATTTTATTGGAAGAAGTCCATGTAATTGTACAATCATTTACAATGCAGGTCCTGCTGTCCTTGTTTTACAAATAATAACACGGAGACACAGAAAGTTTGAGGAATTTATCCAAAGCCACACAGCTAGGATTAGTAGCTCTGGGCTTGCTGTTGAAATCTTACTTCAAAACTAGCACTCTACTACTTATCCACACTGCCTCCACTCCAGAGTGCACGGGTGGGGGCTGATTCCTCAGGTGTGCCTTCGTCTACAGCTCCCACCATGCTACAGTTGGACACCCGCACATACATAAAGCCAACCCTAAGGGAGGGATAGAGAAAGCGGGGGTGCTATGTGATTACCAAGATCGGTGAGCACAACAGCCCTGTCCTCAAAGAAACTTCCAGTGTAACGAGGGAGGCAGTCACAGCACAATACACCATGTGCACGCAGGTGATGGGGACAGCACCAAGAACCAGGCAGGCATGAAACTTGTCAGCCCTCCCAGTCTGGGGTGTTCTGAAGAGCTGCTTTCAAAGCCTCCTGGTAGCCAGATCTGGGGTTAGGCTTTTAAACTCCTTTCTGCTCAAGGCTGATACCACGGTGGCTGATGGGCCCTGCATCCCTGATGGCATGGAGGGATGGCATGACTGGACTAATTAGGTTTTATTAATAGGCGAGCACTTCACGAATTGTAATTAAGCAGACATGCATCTGGTGGCAGTGGTGGCTGAGGATGGGAAGAAGTGGTTGTGGGAGTCTCTGAGGCCCCACGGAATGCGAATACTGTGGTAGAGCATACACTAAGAAGCCCATCCACAAGACTGTGTTAGCCTGCCCTAATGCTCTGGTGCCTGAGACCCTGATTTATTCAGCAAACAAGGCCTGAGCCTACCATGTGCTCTGCTGTCAGAGTGAGACAGGGTTGTGGGTGTGGGTGTAAAGGGTAGAACGGCCGAGTGTCTGGCTCTCTCAAAAAGAGAGGATCATAAAGTGTTGTGGGCAGGGACAGAAGCTTGGGGAGCAATCACATACAAGAGCTGCTTCTTCAGGCAGTGAGTCTCACTGCGCCCTCACACTCCCCCTCTTTCTATCTCTCGGCTTGGCATTTGATGCCTCAGAGCCAGGGCAGCCTGACCTCTGGGGACTAAAAAGCTGAACAAGTCAAGGGGTCTTTGTGTACCGCGAGACTAAAAGGGCCACAGGGGCAGGCGGCCGAGGACAGACAGGGTCGGAGCTGAACCAGAACCCCACACAGGGTGCAGCCTGGGAGACAGAGAAGACAGGTTGCTCTTCACAGAGGGCCGCCTGGAACCAAGTGTTTAGACAGGAGAAGGCATATTTAGCTTATGGAAAAACAGTACAGAATGATAAAGTGGACAATGGAAAAAGAGGTCTAAACAATGGAATCTACTCTGTTACTTGCAGCCCCGACAGCATGACAGATGTGGAGGATAAACTTTCATCTACACCCATCTCGATTTTCCATTCAGCCTCTGAGAAATATTCCAGAATTACTTTTTGCCTTTTGGAAGTTTAGGGTGTTTTAAACTTATCTCCATTCTGCCTGGCAAACACATTTTTCTGAATACCCTGTAACACTGCCTGCCAAACGAGGTTGATTACGGAATATTCTATGTTCCTCCATCCTGAGCCTCATTAACCCCACCCCTTCATCATGAAATACCCTTTTGCCTTTCCAGTAATTCAGCCTGCTCATCTACTGACTCCTGTGTTATGCCCTCAGAAAAGCCTTCCCTAAGACCACCCGTCTGACTTGTTTGCAAAGAGCTGCTTCTGCTTTTCTGGCCTGTCAAGTAGAGAACCAGAATCAAAGGCGTGTATTCCATTCCCAGCCCTGGTCTCCCTGGGAAGCAAGCCACACAATGATCTCCTCAGTTTTCTTATCTGTGAAGATAGGGAAGGTGACAGCACTTTTCTTCTCTGAGTTGTGAAAATTAAATGAGGTTTGTGAAACGCTTTGTGTTAGTTGAGTGCTTATGTGTCTGTGATTTGATGAGAGATGGCAGGTCTGATGCCTTCTCTCTGCCCCCAGCACCAGTACCTTAGGGTGCTGGTTGCTAGTTAGCTGAATGAATAAATGAACGAGTGAGTCAGAAGACGAATGAATGCTTCAAGTTAGCTGGTGTATTTCCACAGAATCTCAGGGGCCTGTGTCCTTCCTAAGTAGTCACCTCACACAAAGATGCAGTGAAATGAAATGTTTGGGGTGGCACAGAAGTGTGTGCCAACCTCCAAGGCCTGTGTCTTTTAATTAGTTTAATTAATGATGGCGCCAACTGGCTCATTACCTGATGGAATTAATGGGGATCATTTGTCTCCCTAAAGCACACATTCAGTGAGGTGGAGGCTATTGGCCAAAGGAGGAGATACAACATGCTCTCTGCCCTGCAGTGGATTCCCGAGCCCCTTCCGGATCCTCCTGTTCTCCAAAAGTCTCCCCACTGCTTCTTTCTCCCCTCTGCACCACAGCTCTTCCCAGGAAGGATGAGGTCTTGCCCGCACTCTGAAGTCTAATTTCACTTCACACTGAACAACTGATATCTAAGCACAAATGTGAACAGATACTTTTAAAATAACCACTAGGAAACTTCTGTGTTTCCCCTAATTCTACTCTTCTCTACTTTCTTGTCCCATGACCACGACCACACTGGCCTCATCTTCAGCCTGGGCTAGTCACATAAGTATAACTTTCAGGGAGCATTTAGGCACCCATGTAAAGACCTGATCTCTTGCTGCTAATGTTGATTTAAGGGTGAATTTGAGGCAAGCAATTAAGCTCTGTGAAGTCAGATCCCATTTGAGCCATGGGCTGTCTCTTCCCCTCCAACATCTGATGCCTCAGGGCCAAGCACGTCTCCCTTTCAGCTATAAAGAATTACCTTCTGCAGCCAAAGTCTGAATACTACCTTCCTTATCAGGGAGCAAAATCAGAGCACTAGACCTGTCTCTTTTCTAAGAAGCCCAAAACACACACTTTGAGCAAAGAACATACTGCCTGGAATCCTTCAGCCTGTGGAGCCCACAGCTGTGCAAGGCCGTTTGTAGGAAGACACTGAAACTCTTGACTTCTTCAAGGGAATGTGAAGAGCAGATAGGAGCATGGGCCCCTGTGGGGGAGTCAGGCAAAGCCCTGTAAATCATTCCATAAAAGCATTCAACTGGCCCTGCATATTTCCAGCCGTGAATGTCTGGCCACCCAGGAAGGAATGCCTGCCACAGAGCTCAACACAAAGGCTATAATGCTAAAACGACAGGGCAGTCTTTCTGGCACATTCTGGGTCACACTTACAGCCCAGGAATATTGTACATATGGTTGGGTTCTTTTTGAATGTACCTATTGGGTTTGTTTTTGAATGTGTGTTTATATAATATGTGTGTTTTGAGGATACTTCTTTGTGGGTAAGATGGATTCTGTTTGTGCCCATCAGTGTGTCTCTGTCCAGGGGCTGACTGTCTAGGAATGGATACATGTCTATGGGTATTACATACCTTTCTATGTTGATGACTGCATTTGTCTTACTGTCATTAGATGTTGTAGCTCTTGGTTTGCATTTCTGAGTTTACGTGACTAATGAAAATAATGAGAACAAAACATCTGATGAGTCAAGAATAAATCTTCTAATCAATCAATAACAAATATTGGTGGGGTTGTGGGAAGAAAGGAACCCTTCTCCATTGTTGGTGGGAGTGCAGACTGGTGCAACCACTGGGGAAATGAATATGGAGATACCTCAAAAAACTAGGATTAGAATTCCCATTTGACCCAGCCATCCCTGTGCTGGCTATCTTTCCAAAAGAATTAAAAGAATCATATCACAGTGATATATGCATACCCATGTATATAGTGGCACAGTTTGTAATTGCTAAAACTTGGAAACAGCCCAATTGCCCATTGAATGAAGACTGGATAAGGATGATGTGGGTTGTTTTTTTTTAATAAACTGGAGTACTACCCAGCCATAAAGAATAAGAAACTAGAAAAAGGTGCAACCAGGGGAAATGAATATGGAGATACCTCAAAAAACTAGGATTAGAATTCCCATTTGACCCAGCCATCCCTGTGCTGGCTATCTTTCCAAAAGAATTAAAAGAATCATATCACAGTGATATATGCATACCCATGTATATAGTGGCACAGTTTGTAATTGCTAAAACTTGGAAACAGCCCAATTGCCCATTGAATGAAGACTGGATAAGGATGATGTGGGTTGTTTTTTTTTAATAAACTGGAGTACTACCCAGCCATAAAGAATAAGAAACTAGAGAGATTTATAGCTAAATGAATGTGTATTGAGGCCACACTCTTAAGTTAAATAAATAGGACACACTTGAGTAAATACTGAATAGTTTCTCATGAAAAACTACAAGTGTAAATAAGGTTCAAATGGTATGACTGATAATGTGAAATAAGAAGAAAAGGTCTAAAGCAGAAGGGGAAGTGGAAAGGTTAGGGGAAAGCAAATAAGGGAGAAGAAAAATCCAAGAAAAGGAAAAAATTGAAACAAACTCTTTGTAAATAGTGAAGGGAGGGCAGGGGTATGGGGAAAAATAAAAATAAAGATACATCATGTAAAGGTACAAGATCCCACTGATTAATGTAACTGTATTGTTTTACCTTATATGTACCAATAAACTTAATGGAAATCAAATCTTCTATTTTTCTTTATAAATTTATTTTTATTAGTATATATTTGCAATACATAATGAATACATCCAATGTGGGGTGACAGTACATGTATATTTCACATCTTAATCTTTTTTACTCCCCGTTTCCCTTTTCTTTAATGGAACACTGGATTTATCCACTGAGAACCCTTGTTACCATAATTTTAGAATGGTGTACACTGAGAATAGTATCACGATGGCAGAGGTAACCAAGGACTACTTTCATGCATGTGCTTCTGATGGGCTCTGGAGGGGATAGTGGTATATTTATTAGAGCAGAAGTGGTCCTTATGGACCATTTCATGCATGAGTAGCATCTACAACAGAAAGCCTGGAGCCTGAGAGGTCCAGAGCAGCTCTGGGAGAAGGCACAGGGCACATATGCACACGTGTGGGGCAGGGGTGGGGGCAATCAGTGCTATAACTTTGCCCAACTCTAAGGACACATTCTTTTTTGTCTTCTAAGGCATCCCATGAGGCACCAAGCACCCTGAATCTGGTGGGGACGGTGTCCCTGGACTTTGCAGCACAGATATTCCAAGTAGGACAATAGACGTCACACCTCTGCTTTCCATCCTTGAATCTCCAACAGACCAGCTCCTGTACTGACTCAGTATTGCCATACCCAGTGGTTTCTTGCTATATCTCTCTGACCCAAGGCTGAGCAGGAGAAAATCCAGGGACTTATTCCCAGTGGCTTGGTTCCCCAGAGTATGGACACAGCCTGAAATCAAGTTCTCTTGCCTGGGAAGGTTGCAGTGACTACTAACTAAAAGGCTCTTGCCACTCAAAGGGAAAATACATCTGATGGAAAGGATGGGGAAGAAGGGCAAAAGAAAAATTTAAAAACTAGTTTTTGCTTTGGAAAGGTCAGCAGCAGGAATCTGCTTTCTTGTCAGTGCAAAGCCAGTGTTCATGCTTAACAGCCTTTTCTCGATCAATATGACACCGATCACCTCATGAAATGGTGTTGAGGCAGCAGGGGCCAGGGTGGAGGAGCTTTGCCTGCCACCAGCACTGAGCTCCTTAGGGCAGGGCTAGTGGCTGAGCACCATGCTACCAATCTGCTTCTGCTAGAGGAGAAGAAAGGAGAGGAGAGGAGGGGAGAGGAGAGGTCTCCTGAAACTTCTTAGGAGCCAAAGGCAGCCCACTCCTCATTTCAGGGCTGAAGCTAGATGAACAGCTAGCTATTCTTGCTTGTTACTGACACTGGGCCGCCTGGGCTACCATGGTCAGGCATTCGCCCCAGTCTTCCTAGTTCCAGACCCGCACTGAGTAGACTGCAGATGACACAAATGGCTCCCAGAAGGAGCTAGGATTCCAGGGGGAGAACCAGTGCACTTTATCATTGGTGCATGGAGCCACCTGCAAATTTGGTTCTTTGTCCATAAGAGATAAAGGTGGAGTTCAGGGTCGGAGCAACCGGGCATGGGGTGGGGATAGGACAGTAACCTTCATCCCAGACTCTTCTGTGCACACACAACCCTGCACCTGGGTCATCTGGCATTCCTCAGAAGATGCACAACTTTGACATCTGCAGCCAGCCCTAGCCACAAGGCACAGTGCAGCATAGTCCATGAGCTCGGGGGTGTGAGGGGCAGGAAATGGAGACAGTGACACTTTGAAAGAATGGAAGATGCTGTTAACATGTCAGTCCAATTATGGTAATGTGCCGGGGTAATTGGCCCTCCAAGGGTGCAGGGGACGCACATGAGTACAGTAATTGCAGGTTCACTTTGCTCTGCATTCTTTATCCCACTTTGGTGACTAATTATTAGTATTTAGCAAGTGGATATTGTCATCTTCAAAGCAGGTGCAGCTGTGGCTCAGGCACTGGAGCTGGGGCCAGCTAAAGGTCAGCTTCTACTTGGGGATAATTAATTTGTCTTATGGATCTGAAATGTGCTGCAAGCTTATCTCTTCATTTTTACTGCCAAACAAACAAACAAACCCAAAGGCAGGGGAATATACCTTGTGATTTATTTCGGTGCCCTGTCATTACTGACACACAGGGGCAAAGGACTGGAGGGGTCTTCTGTGTTCCTCCAGCCTCTCTAAGGAAAGAGCGAGAAATTGATCTCTAGCCAAGATACACGTGAATAGGGGAAGCAGATTGTCTGGGGTGATCATCTACAGGTGTGTACCGTCTTTAAGGGAATGATATCTTATTTGTTCATTACCACTTCTGTACTGGACGGGAGCACACTCTGTTTCTCAAAGGGTTAAGGTATTGGAATTCTAGAAGGAAAAGTAATAACAAAGTAGCTATTGAATCACTACTATGTGTCAGATCCTATGCTCATGCAGGTCAAATACTTTGTTTAATCCTCACAACCACTCTAGATGCAGTGTTATCCCCATTTTATAGTTGAGAAGTTGAGGCTCAGAGAACTTGAATACACCGCTCAGAGCTGAAGTAACAGAGCTGACACTTAATCCAGGGCTATCAGATGTCTAACGAAGCCCCTTTCTTTGCCTAGTGTATTCTTATCTTAGTTCTGTGACCTATATGGAGCACTGAGCACTAAAGCATGTTTTATCTGCAAGAGCAGAGCTTTTTGGTATGCCTGAAAAAGCCCAAAGTTTGAACTGGGCATCATTTCATAAGCCACTTACAAATTGTGTAGATGGAGAAACAGGAAAGGAAATTGCTATAGTTTGATCTTAAATGTCCCCCAAAGGCCCATGTCTTAACGGCTTGGGCCCCAGTTTGGAACTGTTGAGAAGAGGCAGATATTTTAAGAAGTGGGGCCTACTGAGAAGTCTTACAGCCCCTGGTGGCATGACCTCGAAGGGCATATTAGGACCCTGCCTCCTTCTTTTTTTCTCTCTGTGCTTCCTGACTGCTGTGAGCAGCTTTTGCTCTGTCATGTGCATCTACCATGACATAGTATCTCACTATGGTCCCCAAAGCAACGGCGAGAACCAACCACGGACTGCAACCTTCAAGAGAGTGAGTCAAAAGAAACTTCCTCTTCTTAAGCTGAGTATCTTAGTTTTCTTTCTTTCTTTTTTCTTTTTCTTTTTTTTTTAGTAACCGAATGCTGATTAACACAGAAATGGTTCTATCCTGAGTTCTATTAAGTTTCTTGAGCCACTCTGCTCCAAGAAGCTCTTCTCCTACCCCAGCTGCTTTGCACTCTGGTAGGGTACAGACTCAGTTATATTCCCACTCATTTTCAGGAACTTTTTTGCACTGCTCCCTAATTATTTCATATACTTTTGCCTCCCACAAGGATCCAAAAGCATTTAGGTCAGGAAACTGGCCACATGGGCTTTGGTTTCTGCCCTGAGTGACCACTAACTCCTGATTGAATCAAATTGGGGGTGAGAGGGGTAGACAGTGCTCCCCATCTGGCAGTTAGGGTGGCAAAGGAAGACTTTTGGCTTCACGTTGACTGGGCAAATAGAGGATGATTTAGGAAAGTTTAGAAAGTTTCCTAGGATCTACTTGCTTTACCAAATGGAGCTCCAATCGTACGTGTCGAGGGAGTTGCTGGCAAAATGAAAGAAGTGAGGACATAGAAAGGGGTTGTAGAACATGGCAGATGTTTTGGGAGTTCAAATTGTGTCAGAGGATTGCTGCTACGGCAGGGCAACACAAATTTTTGTGATTTTACTGCAGCCTACATATTGATGCAGCCAAATGAATTCTCCTCTTCACAATCTGACCTCCTTCTTACTGGGAAATGATCTCATTTCAGAGCTAACCACAAGAGGTTTGGCTGGGCACCCGGCATGCCGTATGCCTGGCATTTGCAAATCTTCATGCAAAGTGCAATGTTTTTTTTAAAAGACAGTAAATAATCCCGTCTCAAGAAATCTTGGAAAGGTCTGCTTCCAGCCGTGAGGTGAAAAGAAAAGCAATCACTCTCCCTACCCTCACAACCATTATCTGCCATTCTTCTTGAAAGCTAAGGCTTAAGTTGCTTTTAATTTTAGATCAGGAACAATCTGATTTGGGGCCAAGGTGTTTCTTCACTGTCCTTCAAAATGCATGAAGCTGTAGTGTTTTTCCACCTCCACTCTGCTCTGTTTCAGTTTCTAGAGTGCCAAAAGCTGAAGCTCTACCAAGAGTCCAACCTACTGTACATTCGGGATTAGTGAAATTGCACTGGACAGAGTACATCACTCCTGCCTATAGCAAGAAACAGAAGGTTTTACACATACACAGAGTGAGACAGACAGAGACAGGGACAGGGACTGCGACAGACAGGCAGACAGAGATCATGACCTGCCCAGTGTGGTGATGCTTATTGCCTCCTTGGCAAAGTGTCGTGATAACTAAATGGCAACCCAAGCCAAGACCAAATCAGTAGGCAGAGCTCTCAGAAGTTTAGGCCATTACTGCCCATGTCTTTCTAGCTCACCCCCTCTCTCTCTCCTTCATCAATCCCTAACATTACCATGGAAACAAGCAGGCTCCCTTGTAGACCAGTCTGTTCCCTGACCAGTGCCCTCTTTCTCCCGGTCTCTGGTGTCATCAGCAGACCATGAGGCAGGCAGAACACTCCTCCTGAGCAGAGGCAACACATATGGAACAGATGCCAAAGCCTGAACTTTACTTTTGGTTCTGTGGACAGAAGCCCCACTGCCCACTCGGCCTGGTGGTGATGTTTGAACTCTGTCTTTCTGAGGTTCTGCTCCCAGACTGGAACTCCATCTGGGATGAGTCATGTAGACACGGTAAGGGCTGAGACACAGAGGACCGCTTTTCTCTACCTTACTGTAGACATCAAAATTCAGTCTACTTGGCAGGACATCTATCATATGACTTTGCTCCTTCAAGATCTTTCCTACTTCAGGAAGCAAATCTGATTCTAGACTTTGGCCCATTCCAGACTCCCCCAGTGAAGTTCTTAGGCCAGGCCTTAAGACCACAGTGGACTCTAGTCTAGTGTGGCCTCTCACACTGAAGGGAGCCTTCAGGAAAACAGAACTATCTCTGGAGCAAGGTGCCTGAAGGCTGAGGGTAGGAAGGACCTGCTGAGATACAGGTTGGAACCTGTTCTGACTCCCCATTGGCATCTTATCCCCCGAGCCTTTGAGGAGCAGAATGGGGTGAAGAGAGAGGAGGAGGATGGCAATGGGAGAAGTTTAACTGGAAGGTGCTGCTGGGCACCTGAAGATCCTGGGTTCTGACACAGAGCCTAAGAAAGAGACTATATACATATATATTTTTTTTCTACTTTCCTTAGTCACAGCAGATCTTGGGAACATCTCACAAGATTGCTGGTGTTCAGAATTATCCACTGACAAGGCAGCCAGTCTGGTAAGGCTTTGCTAAGGAGAACAACAGCACTGCCACTGATGTCGCAGCCTCTGTTGTGGAGGAAACGTGGCCCCTTCACCCTCTCCATCAGCACTGCTTGGGGTACCCAGACCATAGGAGGAGCATTCACCCTCTGGAGTGATACAGTGCCTCTAAGTTGCACTGATGAAATGCTCTGAACCCTACTTGCACGCTGTGGGGGTGAGAGTGGGGTGGGGGACAGCCAGATAGGATTTGTTTCGGCAGGAAACTTGCTTTGTTCAACATCTGACCATATTTAGGGTTGAGTCAATGTAAATGGATCTTTAAGGGAGCTCAGTACTCATTCTGTTGCAGTGATTTAAGATTCAACCCTCAGGAGACCCCTGCTACGGTCCTCAGCGCAAGCCCCTTTCTTCATGGAAAAATTGTGTTGAGAAAAACAAGGTGCTCTTCCTCAGTTCTGATCTTCATCTGAACTGACACGTCATCCCGCATATGCCACTGCGTCTTTCCCCTCATCCAACTTCATCAGACTTAACACAGAGAAGAAAGGGCAGTGAGCCCCCCCCAAAAAAGCACGAAAAATCACCCTCACTCTATCCCTAAATAGAGGTCTACAGACAATTTGCCCTTCTCTGTTGGATTAGGGTTCTGTTTCTGTTTTATAGCTCTGTGCTTTTCAAACTTCTGTATGTAAATCCTGGTACCTGACTCACCACTAGCTGATATTCTACTTTCCCAGAATGTCTTTTCTGTCTACTTTTTTGTTTTTTGTACACGGGATCGAACTCAGGACCTTTGCACTTGCAAGGCAGGTGGTGGAACCATTGAGCTAAATCCCTGGCCCTCTGTCTAGAATTTTGATTGAAAACACTTTCATTTCTAGTGTGGCTTGGGGTTCCAAATTCCATGTCATCTCACAGGCTGCAAAGCTCTTCTCTGAGATTTGTCCTGAAGAATCTTTAGACTCTTCCTCCCTTCCATGCCTTAGCCCCTCACTTTTTCATACAAGGTTCCAAAGCTCTATGATACACCTTTCACACTTTCTGCTCTGGGACTTTCTTTAAAGAAAATGTTTGGATTTTTTTTCTCCACTCATTCAACAAACATTTAGATTGCTTTCTGTGCAGTAGGCCCATGTAAGTAGTTAGCTCTCGCTGTAATAATCTCCTGTAATAAACTATTCCAAAATCAACCTTCAGCTACAAATGTTTGTTTTTACTGCTGACAGAGCTACAGGTTGGCCAGGATGGTGCTTCTCCAGGATTCAAGACTGAATTCAAGTCCTCTTCTCAGGCTTTCACTGCAGAAACAAGAAGAGCAATCAATAGCTATGTAGGGAAGTGTTTCTTGTGGAAGAGAGATTGAGCTCCAAGAAATCAAGTGAAACTACACTGTTTCAAGCATCTAGTCAGAGGCAGTGCACTTTACTTCCACTGACATATATCAGTCAAAGCAAGTCAGAGAGCCAAGTTTTAAGGCAGTGAAACAGCAAAGAGTACTCCCCTCACATTGAACCATGCAAAACAGAAGAAGGGTGAATTGTGAATACATACTGCAAAATAGCACAGAATGGTTTCTACTTTCATAGAGTTTCCATTCAAACATAAAAGAAATGCAAATACAACATACAAACAAACAAATTAATGTAAGTAACCTGGCTGAACACAAGGGACTCATTTTGGATCAAGTGGTCTGAGAAGTCCTCTTTGAGGTGGTGGCACTGAAACTGAGGTTTCAAAGGTGATAAGAAATCAGGTATGTAAATAGAGGACAAATAGCTTTTGAGTCCATGGTAGTAGTTTGTGCAAAGGCCCTGGGCAAACAAGGATCTTGATGTGACTGAAGAATTGGAATAGATGTAGTACGGCTAGAATGTAGTACGGAACTTTGAAGATGCCTACATGCAGGGCTCTGTCTTGCCACTGCTCTCCCTAAAACTTACCAACAACTCATCTTCCGATTATTAACTGCTGCCTAAGTATGCACTCAAGCATACACCTCCTCCTTCTAGAACCTTCATTAAATTGATCAGTGTGTAGAAGTCATTTTATATTTCACTAAACAAACACACACAAAGGAAAACAAAAACTCTTCAGTCTTTGTGTTGCAGGGCTTGTGCTGGGACAGACTTTGGATAGTCTGTGAAACAGTAGAGGCTTCTGCCCTGAACAAGAGTCTCTTGGCTGAGAATTATCCTGCAGAACAGAGAATCAGGCCTGACCAGTGCATCCAGTAAAGTTATGAGATCTTTTCTGAATACAGCTTTTTAGCTTATCCTCAAATCTGCCTAGCACAAGAGGACTCTTTGGAGTGATAAAAGTGTTCCATATGTTGATTAGATTTGTCATTTATCAAAACTCATTGAACTCTATACTTAAAATGGGTGGATTTTATTAAATGCAAATTATGACTTAATAAAGTTGAATTAAAGACAAATATCAAAGCAAAAAGTAAAAAAGAGCAAACAAAAGAAAGCAAAAACCTGACACTGGCCCACCTCCATGTTTTCCTGCAGAGAGGGCGGTACAGTTAAAAACGATGGTTCCAATGCACTCTAAGACACTAGACTACAAACAGCTTTCTATGCCTAGGGACACTCTTCACAGGAACATGAAAGGGCTTTTGCCACCAGCCCCTGGCCACTTTGAGACCTTGAGGAATTGAGAGTGTTGGGGGTAGCACCTGGGCGGGGGCCGTGTCTGGTAGATGATTCAGGACCTACTGGGGCAAGAGCGAGTCT